GGGCCGGGGCAGACAGCTCCGAAAGGCAAGGGAAGGAAACCGGCAGGAGTGATTTACCCCGGCAGCCCTTCTCCATAGGCTGCAGTGGATGGCTGGACAGATGCCCCCCTCTTTGAGGACAGATGTCCCCTCTTTCGGCCATCCCGCCTGTCCTGGGCAGGCTGCAGCCCCCAGACCCACAGGGRARGCYCAAGACCGGGGATTCCRTCCTGCAGGAAATCTCCATCCCACAGGGCTGGGGCTGTAAGCTGACACTGAATTCCTGGGAGGAAGATGGGGGCGTCTGCCTAAGTGTGGGGACCTGCATTGTTTGAGGTGACACAAGGCCAACTGTGAGATGAAAAGAGGGGACATGAAGGTGTGAGAGGGATGTACTGGCACCCAAACGCTTTCCCCTAAGAGACGAGCCACAGTGAGAGCCCAGGAAACGCTTTATTGCCAAGAACAGCGCTCCCCTCAGCCCYCAGGCACACAGACAGAGGCTGCCCCACCACACCCCGTACCAGATCTATTTATACAGACCAGCAGCTCCTCGGTGCCGAGAGCCAGCCCCAGCACCGGCCTCAGGCCGCACAGGGGATACAGAGGGCTGGGCAGCCCAGCCTGTGTGAGAGGGACACTCCCGAATCACTGAGGCACCATAATGTGCCCCGTGACCGACCCAAACACTGCCCGGGGGCTCCCGCAGGCCTGGGGGCTGCAGACAGCCTGGCTCCCAGCAGAGGTGGAACACCCAGCGAGCAGGAGCAGCTGGGGTGGCACAGAGGTGGCCAAATGCCTCGAGTGATAGAAAGATCTGTCTGCTACCCATGTACCTCACAGCCCTGTGCACATCCTGCTCACCCCAGGCCGTGTCCCCTCTCAGTGTACCTGGCCTGCTCGAGGTGCCCCTGTGCTCCCGCTTGCTCAGGATGATGCTGTGTGGGATATGGGACCAGCCTGGCATGGGGGGCCAGCCTGTCCCKGGGCACTGCCTTCCCGTGCCCCRTCAGAGGAGACGTCCCAGGAGCTGAGCGCCGGGAGAGCTGCCCCAGGCCACCGGCAGGGCCACAAAGCCCAGCTTGCTGTAGAAGCTCAGCTGCTGGCGGTCGGCGTCACTGACCTGGCAGAACACTCCCCGCGAGCCTGGAAGGGAGTTGAGRGGTCAGGGCACCCCGACCCCAGTGCTGGGACTGGGGGCACAGTGGCAGGACCCCCTCCATAAGGGGATCAGCCCCTTGAGCACAGAGTGCCCCTGYGATGCCCTGAGACACATTTCCAGTGTCCCCCAGTGCAGGGGGAGGGGACAGAGCCTGGAAGAAGGGGCCAGACCACACCGGAGAGGGGACAGCTGAGAGCTGGGGTACAAGTGGGGCTGACTCCCAGCTCTGGCGGGGAGGGAGCAGCTGGGATGGGGCTGTGCTGGGTTGAAGGGGCAGCACTCAGGCCATGCTCACCGTTAGCCCTGAGTGCGCTCAGCAGGCACAGGGCCAGGCTGCGGCTGGCCCCGATGTCCAGCACACGGGGSGCCGTGCCCAGCTGCACCAGCGAGGGGAAACGCCTCAGCACGGGCTGGGGCACAGCCAGCGGCTCTGCGTGGAAGAAGAGCACCGCTTCCTCCAGGGCATCCTGCGGGACACAAGCACAAGTGAGGGAACCCCCTCTGCTTCTCCCATCCCCGCTCCCCTCTGTTCCAGGCGTCCCTCACCTGTCCCAGCGCTGCCCCCCCTGCTCCCAGGTCGGGGGGGTATTTGTGTCGTATGGCCGGCAGCCAGCTGCTGTCTCGCTGCTGGAGGAAACCCTCGGCGTGGAGCGCTCCGGCYGCGTAGCCACACGGGCCACCCTCATCCTCCAGCACGAAGGTATACTCGGGGCTCAAGCTGAGGAAGCTGCCCAGCAGCCTGCCAGCCAGAGAGCTGAGCTGAGCCCCTGAAAAACCTCAGAGCAGCCTCCTCCTTCGTGCCCCAGCTGGACAGCACCCACTGACCACCCCTTTGGGACCCCTGGTAGAAACCCTCAGCCAAGGGGAGCCATTGCAGCCTCCAGCAYGCAGGCTGGACATCCACAACGGATATGAGCATGGGGATGTCCCTCCCTGTCCTTCCCCTGTGGCAGGGATGCCAGGAGAGGCTGTCACTTCACTCCCCATCCCTGCATCACCCAGCACATGTCCAGGTTCAGCACTGCCCGAAGGTGTCACCTCTCACCTGTCACCAAGGAGATCCGGGTARGCCACGAGGATCTCAGCCACTTTGGGATCGCAGTCCAAACTCTCCCGGCACAGGCGGTAAAGCTCTCCCTGGAAGACCCGGACTCCTGTCAGCCCTGGCTGTGCCAGCCTCACCTTCTGCTGGCCTCGGGCTCGTGGCCACAGCACAGCCAGCCTTCAAGCCAGAATTGCCATTCTGGTCAGGCATCCCGAGAGCAGCCGCTGCGGAGACGGCCCCAGAGCAGCCAGAACGGCACCAAAAACAACTCCGAAAACTGGAGTCTCCAGAGACCATGAGCACAGCAGGACATCCCCAAATGTCCTGTCTTGGTCACAGTTGAGTTTGCTGCTGCAAACATTGTGCTAAAAGCTTTGCTCCTGAAAGGGGAGGCTGCCCTGATCGCCCAACAACAGGGGCAGGACCGTGCCCCGCTGTGCCCGGTTCCTGCAACGGCCCGATGGGCTCGGCTGGATCTTCCTCTCGGAGGCTCCCTGCACACAAACATGTTTTTGTTGTTGAGGTTCAGCCTGAGCAGATGAGCTGCACTCGTGCCTGTGGTGGCTGCAATTGAGGCCTWTTCTTGAGCTGGAGTGCAGCAGAGTGAGGGATTGAGGGCTAAAATGGACAATGAGGGGTTAAAATGGGAAATTGAGGAGCAATTTTGGGGTCTAAAGAGGTGATTTGGGGGTCAAAATGGAAAATTCTGTGGTAAAATGGGCAATTTGGGGTCCAAATGGGAGATTAGGGGGACAATTTGGGATCCAAATGGGAGATTTGGGGTGAAAAAGGGGGATTTGGAGGAGAATTTGGGATTTTGGGATCCTGATAGGCCATTTGGGATGAAATTGTTGGGCAATTGTTGAACGAACATCTGGGCTAAACTTGGGTTTAGGACAAATTTGGGTGTAAATGGGCAAATAGGGGACATATTTGGGGTCTGAATTGGCAATTTTGGGTCAAAGAAGTGTATTTGGGGACAATTTGTGGGGGGGAAGGAAGGAAGGAAGGAAGGAAGGAAGGAAGGAAGGAAGGAAGGAAGGAAGGAAG